TTAATTTTTTTCATCTTTTAGGTGGGTGTGCACATATTAGATTATAAAACATTTTGCAAATTTTTAAAATAATTACTGTGTGTCAAGACAATTAACTGCTCTGGTTGATCTTTGTTATTTCTGCCATAAAAATGTGGTCATCATGTCAATAAGCCTTACATTCAGCATATCCTTGTAGCAGATATTTTTTTCCAGCAAATTTATATATTACATGTAAAAAAAGTGATAAAAATGTATCTTTTACACCAAAGACCACAAAACTGTGTGTGTGTGTCTTAGTCTTAGTGCTGGATTCATTTGGGGTGTACTAGTTTAGCACACTAGCCGGTATCCCTTCTGATTGGCTAGGAGCTCATTTTAACTGATTAGTACTTGTGTTCTAGTTATTAAAGATTTTAAATAACTAAATATTATTTAAAAAGTTATTTAATATCAATCATTGTTTAACATTAAAATATTAAATACTTTATATAGTTTCCTACTTATGCCAACCCCTAATTGGTCTTGATCAGCTAGAAGACCATCTTGAGGAATTTGAGAAGGTGATGTCTGATCAGTGATGTCTGCCACAGGATCGGGAGGAAGCAGTATTGCCTTTCATGCTTCAGTTCAGTGTGGTTTTCATAAAGATGTGCATGATGGAAAGCCATTGAGTGGACTTGAAAAGGAAGTACTAATAAAATTCTAGGAATGTCTGAAATCTGAAGTCTTCATAAATATTAACATGATAACCCTTTTTGGAAAAGACAGAGGTAAACATGGAAGCACATTTTGATTTTACAAGTTTGTAATAGACATAAGCACTAATTTGAAGAGGATTCAAAGCTAGATTATGTAAGATGGTAGTAAATTTCTGAAGTAAAACTTGTATTTAGGTGAATAATACTTGTGATGATACTGTACCTTGTCAGTATGAGAACTGCTTGGGTTTACCATTTCTGACTCTGAGTAGGAAATTACTGTTTTAGTCAAAGCAGCAATGCTTTTCAAACATTCTGTACATTCAGAATCAATTAGAAAAGAGCTGAGAGGATACAGAGTGATTGATTTGGTTGAAAATGTCAAGTCTGAAAAGTTTCAAAGCATACATCATGTCATAAGCATGAATAATTTTTGCTACCTCAAGTTAGAAGAGAAACATGGCACTGGATTGTTCCCTAGTGTGGAGCACAGGCCACCTATAGGTGGATGGTCCCAGATATTTTTCTCTGACCTAGTTACTTTCCATGATTGTTCTGTTTATTTTATTTAGCTGACTATAGGACATGACAATTCTATTCATTGCTCTTAGTTATTCCCTTCTGTTGCTTCTGCTCAGGATATTTTCTCCATTTTTTTTTTTTTTTTGTGTGTGTGTGTAGAGCCGTAAAATCACCGATGTAACAGAATATCAATTTTTAATGCTTTGATTTTTGTTATTGCTAATCATCTGCTATGATTCCTTCTAATCACATATCTTACTACAAAATATAATCGTATTTTAATATTAGTATTTATTTTTAAACTGTGCCACTTATTCTCTTAGCTGCTTCTATATGGCCCATCCCCCCTGCTGTCATTTCAATACTATAATATTTTAATAAAGTATAAAATATTTGTTTTTGGTTTTTTGTTTTAGTTGTTGCTGCTTTTTTTTAATGTTTTTTTATTTTTGAGAGAGAGAGAGAGAGAGAGAGAGAGAGAGAGACAGAGCGGGGGAGGGGCTAGAGAGAGAGGGAGACACAGAATCCGAAGCAGGCTCCAGGCTCCAAGCTGTCACCATAGAGCCCGACGCGGGGCTCAGGCTTACGAACTGTGAGATCATGACCCGAGCTGAAGTCAGACGCTTAACCAACTGAGCCACCCAGTTTCCCCAGCTGTTGTTGCTGTTTTAAGTTCTTTGTTCTTAGTCAAAAATTAATGTATAGAATTTAAATAAAAATTAATGTGTAGACTTTTGTATATCTCTTCCTAGTTAAAAAATTTTAAAACAAAATGGAACTAGTTTCATTTTACTCTGTAACCTCTCCATTACCCCCTCCTATATGTCAGGGAAGTCCTCAGTGAAAAAAATTGGTGCACACGAATGAATAGTTCAACAAATACATAGATTCTGGCTCATTTGATATTTTCCAAAGGGATTAGTCAGATGTAACTAAATCCTTGGTATTTGGACATAAATTAAACACTGTACCCCAACCGGTTGAGTGGATGATTTTCTAGTGTGACAGAATACATACAATAAGAAAAGGTTCATTGTGGCAACAAGAATGTGTGGAAAGAAGTGGCTTGACATTTTGTCATATCATTGTATATTGATTTGTGTCTCAGAAAATTCTGTTGCTTTCTTGCAACTGTGATTTTTCAGTTTGCTTAAAGGTAAATAGGAAAGACTTTTAGAAAGGACCTGATTCAGAGGCATCTTTTGAAGGCAATAAATACATTTTTATTATCACCTGTTAAACCATGAGAACACTGATTTCTGTAATTATTGATTTTTAATGCATAAGTCAAAATAAATTGGCTCAAAGTGCATAAGCCAAAATAAATTGATATAATGATGCTGTGTTGAGGACTATTTTTGTCAAAAAAAGAAACAAAAGCCTCTTAATGTTAAAATGCTTGACTCTACTCATATGCTATTTAAAGAAAGATAATGAGGGGCGCCTGGGTGGCGCAGTCGGTTAAGCGTCCAACTTCAGCCAGGTCACGATCTCGCGGTCCGTGAGTTCGAGCCCCGTGTCAGGCTCTGGGCTGATGGCTCGGAGCCTGGAGCCTGCTTCCGATTCTGTGACTCCCTCTCTCTCTGCCCCTCCCCCCTTCATGCTCTGCCTCTCTCTGTCCCAAAAATAAATAAACGTTGAAAAAAAAATTAAAAAAAAAAATAAAGAAAAATAATGAAAGAGCTCTTTGATTAAAATTGCCATTATTGAGGCAAGCTTTCACTATTTTCCAATGATATAAAATGTCTTTTACAGAAGTGGTATTTTTGTAACTGTCACACCTTTCTGGTATGTATACAAACAAAAACTTCAAAGTCTAGCCTACACCCGCCCAGACCAGCATGCTTTTCCTCCAATCTCTACTAGATATGAAAAATATGTTCATTAATATAACCAAGAGAGGGATATCCCTATTTTAATATGGTATCAGTGAATCACACATAATTAGTAGGTAGCTTGAAATTTTGAAATGAATAATATGAATTCTCTCATTTTTCCAATGTGATTATTAACATTATGTGATCATTTATTTAATCAGGCTTTTAATAATAAATCAACAGTTATTTATATTATAATGGTATAAGCAAACTCAAAAATTGTATTAATAAGGCACTGATTTAATCACTTTGTATAGAAATAAAATTATAACCCAAAGCCATTCTGACAGAAGTGTTAACAACTTTATTTTCTTAGGAAATCCATTTGAAAATACAGCTTTACTTTTTAGAGATATTGTATGAACTGTAATCGTTTCAGTTTAAGACAGTTAACAGCGTACGGTGGACACCTGGATGAGGGCTGAGAAACGTGCATGATGGGCCCTTCGCTGAGGAAAAACAAAATCTTATCTATCTATCTATCTCTCTATCTATCTACATATATCTATCTACATATACCTATCTATCTACATATATATGCAGTCCAGTGATGTCCTCAAGAGAGTCAGGTTCAAAGTAGAGAAGGCACATTTACTTGGGCAACAGGGAAATACAGTTCATCAGGTAGGTAACATTTGAAATGGGCTGTAATGTGTCAGTAAAGCTTTGAAGGTGCAAATGAAAGGGCCAAGGGAATATTTCATGCCGGAAATGTTTCCTCTAACAGATCTGCTGGTATCTTGGTGGTATTCACATGTTCTTCTAAACACAGAATTGTTTCTTCACACGAGTGGTCTATGGAGGCCCTTTGCATAAAACTGGTAAAAGTAATTAGCTCCAGTTGAGAAGAGTGGGAATTTATAGGTCTGGATTCTCCCAACTCTGTTCTCATTGTTTGCCACCTTAATGCCTAATGTTAGCTCCTTAATGCCTCAGTGTATATATGCTGTAGTTTGAAACAGCACATTTCATATAATTTTATCACTGGAAAGCATAACAACTACTATTTTAATAATAAAAATTATTGAAACCAAACCGGAAAGGAATCATCTTGGCTCATAAGAAAATGTGTTTGACAGAACCCTCGGTGTGGTACTTTTCAAGGAGAAGGAAAGGGGCAGCTATGTTAGAGAATTCCATTAGAATCTTAGAAAGGTGTAAAATTTTAGCAGTAATTAAAGGGGATTCTTAAAAATAAGAAATATTGATATAGAATATAAGACAACTATATGGATGGGAATGGGAAATATGACTGAAATTGTAGTTTGGGATCATGTTCTAAAATCCTTGAATGCCAGACTGGCACATATGGTTGGTTGTACAGGTTGTATCTTGCATAACCCAAGGAGTTGTCATTCACAACTAAATATGTGCACCACCTGAACAGCTGTACGTGATGAGCTTTGTTTAGTTTGGAAAAGAATTGAAAACCTTTACATTGTTCTCAAGTCAAGGAATGGTGTAATTGTTGTTGAGCTTTAAAGAAATTAACCTTGTAGTATTTTGTAAAATGATTCAAATTTCAGAAACATAAATATACAATATACCAAACTTGGTCATCCGCTAGGGGAATGAATTGGGTTTGTAACTTATCTAGAAGGGAGAGGGCAAGGTTCAAATGACTCTAAAACTTTTTCTCAAGTTACCAGAAGAATTGTACCCTGACAGAAAAATAGAAAGATCATGTTGTGGTGATTAGGTCAAGGTAAGAATGGAAATAGTTCTCCTTTGACTATTTCAAATTATTGTGAATGATTTTGTCACACTAAATGGACAGTTTGCTAGAATTCTTCCTACAAGCCTTTTTTTGTCTTTTCTTCTCTTTCAGGCTGAAGTCATTGATGTGAGTTATGGAAATGCAGATGACTTAAAAAGGATACAAAAAATGAAAAATACAACGAATAAGATTGCACTCCTGAAATTAGGAAAATTGCCATTACTTTATAAGGTTGGTCCAATGGCTGTTGCTGGTGGGGTGAACATTTTATTTTGTTTTGTTGAAGTTACATGCCTCTGTGAGTGGAGAGAGAGACAGAGGCAGAGACAGAGAAAGAGGGAGAAGGAGAAGCACACAGAGTCAGAGAGTATCACAGGAAGATGACTTTCCAAAATAGAATATTTTAAATTAAAATCTTTAAGAAAAATAGTTGATGTCATTATTAATTACTTGAGACCGAAGATACTTTAAGCCAGGTATTGATGAGTTTGTGGGACCTTGATAAAATTGGCATACTCTTCACAATAATACTGATGTAGTAGAATGCTAAAATTGAGAGCCAGAGTGTCCTCTTCCTAGGACATATGTGAAACTATTATCAAAACTGACTAATTACTATGTGCTTTGTGTTAGACAAGTATCCAGAAGATTTATACTCCTTAATGATTGATTTTGTCAACTGTATAACTTCACAGTTACTGACTGTGCTCAAGAATTTAATTAAAATATAATATGCTAAGGAGAAATAGAATTTTGATTTATTTTATTTAAATAGAAGTTTATTAACACTTATCCAATAGATGCATTTACATAATTAAAGCAGCTCTATCTAAGTATCTCATAATGAACCACCACGATAGACAGCCACTACTGCTCATTCTTACTTCATTTCCCTTTTCTATTTAAAAAGAATGGTCAGTGTAGTTGTGGCACCGGCACTCTCTGGTTGTGAAGATATATTGGGTTTCTCTTCATAAAACCCTTAAAGATTTTTGCTTCCTAGAGCCAAAAAAGTTTCCAGAAATCTGTTTGTATACTCTGTAAGGAAACTAGAGAACAGGTGTGCTTCTTTGTCATTATCTTCTATGGATGCTCTTATACTTAAATCAATGCCTGATAGTAGATAATTGGCCAGATTTTAAAGTAGTCTTGAAAATACATTGTTTGATATATATGTGTGTGTGTGTGTGTGTGTGTGTGTGTGTGTGTGTGTGTGTGTGTATCAATGTGATATTAGTTTTTTTAGCAATGTATTTTGTCAATATGTATTAAGTGATTTAATCATATTTTGATCCAATGATTCTGGTTTAATCAATATATTATAAAGGGGAAAAAACAGACAATAAAGATCATCAATGATGTGGCAGATTTTAGAAATCTTATATATGTCCAGTTTAGTATTGAAAATGATGCTACATTTGTATAGCTGAATACTGTATAATTACAAGGTAAAGAAGAATTTTGAACAGCATGTGAGTATCCTCTAAACAAGTTATAGAGAGGACATTTATAATAATTATAATAATAATTATATTATTGTTACATCTAAAGATAGCATGTTAGTAATATGGGATAAATACTTTTCTAAGTGTTGTTGTTGTTTTTTAGTCTTCACAATAATCATGTTGTTGAGGTAGGGACTGTTATTATCTTCAATTTACAGGAGAGGTAACTGAGGTAGGAAAAGAATAAGCAACTGGCTCAAAGACAAACAGCTAGTTAGATGAAACAATAAGGATTTACATCCAAGCAGTTTCATGTCACATTATGAGTCTTTAATGTGTAAGTAAGTGTATGTGTGTTGTTAGAGTACTTTGGTAGATAGATATAGTTAACTAGCTAATCAAATGATAATATATATATGAGTGGGTGTTTCAACGTGACCTACCCAACACCAATGTGTCAAAGGAAAACATTAAAACCATGTCAGTCTATTGTTGAACCTCTTACATCTGTGGTATAAAAGGTTTGGAGGATGGTGGGGAAAGAAGATTTTATGAATAGAAATTTTGGAGAAATTTAAGTTCCATTGCAAGCCTAGTGATGAAGGATTCAATGGAATCATGTGGAGGGCTTAATGTGTGTCCTCTGCAATATGGGGAACATGGTAGACTGGTGGCTGACTCACCTGAGAAACCTGTAAGTAAGAGATGAGTTTGACGCTCAGCATCTAATAAATGAGCAGGAAAGGAGTGTCTGTGTTGGGATTGGCCTGTGTCTCCAGACCTTGGAGCAGAAAAATATATGTCTTTATATATTTATGCAATATCAATATCTATCTCTATCTATAGATAGATATAGTTATATATACATGCATATATTTGCCTGGGACCTAGAAACGGTGTCTATTATTGGCTCTTTAAAAAATAAATCAAAGTAGCTTCCTGTGTAGTCCATCTGGTCTGGAGAACGTGCTGATGTTTATAGCAACTCTTGAAAACGTAGAATAGAGCAGTAGAGAGGTAACAGAAATTCATATTGACCTAAAAACTACCCAAAGAGCAAAACTAATCTGAATTGGTATATTTTCTAATAAATAGAATAGTATAAGGAATTACGTATTTTTGTTAAGCTACTTGACTTTAGCCTGGTCAAATCTGAAGTTCTCTGGTCTGGGCTAGACTAGCAGGAGTGGATTATTTTCTCCTGGCCAAGAAATGTTTTGCCTGCCCACACCCCCCCAACCCCCCGTGTTCTGATGTACCTTCTTTTGACCCAAAAAGGCTCACAGCTATCCAGTGTTATTTACTCCAGTCTGTAGGGACCAATTATATAAATTGGGTTAATGGAATTATGGATGATTTCTACTTCTTTATATTTTCCCATTGTTAGTAATATGGGCTAGATATTTTTCTAAGCTTTTTAAGTGTACTATCACATTAATCTTCATAATAATCATATTATTGAAGCAGAGACTCTTATTACCTTCAATTTATAGATAAGTATCATTAGTGCATGAGGAAAGAAAGAATACAGAGTAACTCCTTCCTCAACAACAGACCTGAGCTGGCAGAGGGCAAGAAGATGAAATTTTAAATCAAGGGTGGAGTTTTGATCATGATGTGAGACTATGTATTCTAATTATTTAAGACAAGTGACTCAAACTGATTATAAGACTTTTTAAATTACCAATTATCAGAAGAAGTCTTCATCTAGCTGTCTGGGGATCTTCTCTAGGTATGTTTTGAGTGGGCAATAGGAAACAGAGTAGCATTGCCTCTGGTATATAAATCCTGCTTGTTCAATATACCAGTGATCTATATGACTAAAATGCTGTTTGTGGTAGGGGCCAATTATATGAATTGAATTGGTGAAATTATGGATGATTTCTACTTCTTCATATTTTCCTCAATTTCTAAATGTTCTATAGTGATTGTGTATATATTGTATAAGCAAAACAAGCAAAAAAAGCCTTTAAAAATTCAAGTTAGATAAGGCATTCACAAACTTTCCTAAGTATTTGTAGGCCAAATATTCAAAATCCTCACCAGTAGATTATGAGTTAACACAGAGCAAGGTTTCTTTGTATTTGACTTCTCCAGAGAATATTTACATTATGAAACCATTGGCCATATCTACAAAGTAGTGAATTAGTGGTTTATCTAGAATGGGACACAATTATTAAGAGCCTGGTATATTTCCCCTGATCATTTTCCTTATAGGCCCATGAGTAGATTTAACAAGAGATCTATGCAGAATCCCCCTCAAGACAGAACCTTACCACAAACTTAGCATTATCTTCCAGGCAGAAGACAGGGCATCCTTTCTTTAACTTTTTAAATTCCACTCTAGCCATCTCTGTTTTCTGTGGATTATCCCAGATATCTGAGGGAATCATTGATAGTACATTAATATACAGTCATCTAGTAAAGCAAAAGTAAGCATTGATTAGATAAAGTTGTGCAGCATGGTAACAGCTGAGCTTGCTTAACTGGTCCATCAAATATATTCTGGGACTGAAAGTGGAAAGTGTGTTAATACAGTAATACAGCTGGGCTGAAAAAGGCAGAGAACCACTTGACTGTTTTGTGTATCACTACTGCTAATCATGATTCCAAATAAGCATCTGGACTGGTTACATGCAGCAGAATGAGTGAAGAGAAAAGTTAATCTGTTCTTACTTGTGTAGTAGTTACTAAATCAAGTTCAATAATAAATATAGGAGGGATTCTCTGCATCTGAGATAGAGCAAAAAGGGAACTTAATTGTGATGTTATCTCCCAAAAAATGAGTAGAAAAAGAATCAGTGGCCAAGGAGATCTTATTAGTTTTATCATAAATACTATGTATGTGTTGATTTAGCCTCCTTGAAGGGTTTGATGAGAAAATCCCTATACAGTGTAGCAGAAAGTATGAAATGCAAATAGCTTTTAGATATATGCCTTGACATCCATATTTTATTACTGCAGGGAAGAGCAAACCCAGTTCTCCAGGTCTAGCCTGTGCTAGTTCCCTTAAGCTTAAACCTTAGAGAAAAGGCATTAGGTTTACTTTAGTTTTGTATTTTAGCAGTTTATTTTATAGGAAAGTGCTTTACTTCTTTAAGCTTTAAGACAGAATATTATTTTATATGTCATAATGGATTCACTTAGATTTCTCTCAGAGACAATCTGAAACATAGTAAAGCCCATCTGAAGACCCTCACATATTCCCAAATTGCTGAATAGCACTCTAGTATGAAATTTATTTTATAAATGCAATAAAAGCATTTGGCTTTCTTTTTAGGGCCATTTTCACAAAAGCAATAATAAATTACTGTATACTGCATGACAACTAGAAATTGTATAAATCTTGCTGGAACATGGAGGCCGGGCCATTGTCTAGGTCTACACCAGGTATCAGCCTCCTGTCTTATAGGAGTCAAATGTGTATGCAGTGAAATTACAGATAAATACATATACTTATGCCTTTTTTGCATGGTGAAATTACACATAAAAATCCACAAATGCCATTGCAGTTTTTTATAAATGGAGTAGCATACACCACATTTCTAGTACTCACTGTTACACAGTATAATATCTGTTTTTAGGGGCTCGTAGGTTGCTCAGGCTGCTAAGCAACGGACTCTTGGTTTAGGCTCAGGTCATGATCTCATGATTGTGAGATGGAGCCCCGTGTCGGGCTACACACTGAGCTGTGGAGCCTGTTTGGGATTCCCTCTCTCCCTCTCTCCCTGCCCCCTTCCCCCTGCTCTCTCTCTTTCTCTTTCTATCTCAAAAATAAATAAACGC